GGCTCAGCCTGTAATCCCGCGCCTTTGGGAGACTGAGGTGAATGGATTGCCTGAGCCCGCGGGTTCGAGACCTGCCTGGACAGCGAGACCTCATCTCTACAATAAATCAAAAAATCAGCCGGGAGTGGTAGCGCATGCCTGTAATTCCGGCTACTGGGAAGGCTGAGGCAGAAGGATCGACGGAGCCCAGCAGGCGAGGCTGCGGTGGCCGGGAGCGGCCATTGCACTCCAGTCTGGGCGACCGAGTGAGACTCCAACTCAAAAAAATAAATAAATAAATAAATAGATTAAAATTTCATTATAAATATTTGAACTTTCTAAAGGTCTTAGGAGAAAACAGACCAGAAATTTTGAGAGAGAAAAATCATCAGAAAGGAAGTAGCCCTAATAGATAGATACTAAAATAAGTCTGGATGGGAGGCTGAGGCAAGAAGATTGCCTGAGCTCAGAGGTTTGAGGCTTGGACAATTTGGTGAGATCCTGTCTCTGCAACAGATCAAAAACTAAGCTGGGCGTGGTGGCACTTGCCTATAGTTCCAGCTACTTGGAAGACTGAGTCAGAAGGATCACCTGAGCCCAGCCGGTCAAGGCTGCGGTGGCTGTGAGCATGCCACTGCACTCTAACCTGGACAACAGAGTGAGACTTCAACCCCCCCCCCCAAATGTAATAACTGAAGTATGGTCCTGGCAATTAAGTGAACAGATCAGTGAAAATAAATGTAAAGCCCAAGTCTTTCACATGTTTACAAGAAATAACACATAGGATTAAAATGGCAGTTTTGGTGAGTGGAAGAAATAGAGACTATTGAATACCTTGTGGTGCTAAACAAGGTGGCCTAATAATTTTTTAAATTGTTTTGTTACCTGGAAAGAAATACAGTCAAATGAGAAAATATAAACAATTATTTGCAACTCAAACCACAAATAAAGAATTAATTTCCTTCTTTTAAAAAAGTCTAATACTAATACAAAGGATAAAGATAACCTAATAGAAAAATGAAATGAATTATAAGAGACCATTCATAGACAAGAAACTAAAAGCATTTTTTAAATTCATGAAAAACTTACCTTTCATAATAAGAAAACTAAAATCTAGAACCACAATTTATACCTATTAGATAGGCAAACATAAAAGAGTTTGTATCAATAGTATTTCTCAGAGTGTGGGGTGACAGGTATTTTCATATGTTGCTAGTGATAATATAAGTGGTATAACTTTAATAGCAGCTTGGAAGTAGTTAATAACAGTAGGCTACTTAGGAGATAAAAGGTAGTGCTTAAGGAGAAAGGAGAATACCCCAAGTTTGCATGTCTCTGGCCTTGGAGGTAAAACAAGATTTGTCTAGCTCGTTCTCCCCTCTATATTTATGTGGGGTATGCAGAGTGGACAAGGACTAATGCAAGGGAAACAGAGACAATTGTAACTGAGCTATGAGTCATAGGAGAGCTGTTAAGGCTTGTGTGGTCTCATGTAGATTTTTTTGGTCTTGGCTTTGCCTTCTTAGGAACTGCCCCTTTTCTAAAGAGGAGCCCAAAGGAAGGACTGGCCATCCATTGCACATCTCAAAACCATGGCTCAGGTGAGGTGACAGTTCCTCTCTCCTTTCTAGAGGTCTTTTTTTTTTTTTTTTTTTTTTTTTTTTTTAAGGATATTTAGGCATTTGCCTTTCTTGTTTTAAATCTTCTTGCCTATCTTCCTTCTCAGGAAACTTGTCCCCATTTCTTCCCATATTAGTTACATAAGCCTGTACCTTCCACAAATGCTCCTAATTTTAACCAATGTTCGCACATTAAGTGTCATTCCCCATCTCCTTTCTTATTCTTCTCCCAGAAGCTATGGTGGGGCAAAAAATACATTTCCTTGAATTAAATGAGAATACACTACTTAATGAACCTGTCTTGTAATGATAAAAAAGATGCAAGATTTTATCACATCCACAGACCTGAGTCAAGAAAGAAATGAATTTTATAAATTGCTATTGAGGCTTTAAGAATGGAGATGTGATTGGCAGCTTGTATAGAGAACTGAGAATCCTATGTTTCTCCTGTCTGTTCCTTCAATATTGCTCACAGCTACTAACAGTTCCTAAAAATCTGTGACCTCCCAGTAGCATCTTTTTTTTTCTTTTTTTTTTGAGACAGGGTCTCACAATCACAGCTCACTGTAACCTCAGCCTCCCAAGTAGCTGGGACTACAGCACTGTACCACCATGCCTAGGTAATTTTTTTTTTAATCTTGTGTAGAGATAGAGTCTTGCTATGTTGCCCAGGCTGGTCTCAAATTCTTGGCCTCAAATCATTCTACTACCTCAGCCTTCCAAAGTGCTGGGATTATCGGTGTGAGCCACTGTGCCTGGCCAACATCTTCTCTGTATACTAATGGTGTTATAAATGTATTCTTGTTTTAAAATTTCTTCTCATTTTTTGTTTGAATGCCAAAGAAGTAAATGTATTTGCATAGGCCACCGTATTGAACCAGAAGTGGAACACTTAAAATATTCTGCTCTAGTTTCAAAGATACTACTCTTTCCTGTAAAGAAAATTTATTATATCTGAACCTCTTATATAGTGGTTTCTCAAGATTTTGTATTAGTTCTCCTTTCTTTACAGTCACCTGTTCACTACCTACCACTATTACTCTACTGATGCTCAAATAATTTTAATTGTAAACCTGTGTTCTGAGAGTCAAAACTATGTATTCAACCTCCAACTGAATATCACTACCTGTATGTTCCACAGATCCTTCACACACATATCTGAGATCTACCTCATTATCTCCTTCTGCCCATCCTAATCTTTTTTTTTTCAATCTGGTTATGATTCCAGCCCCTACCCAACTACTAATGCAGTCAATGTGAGTTAAATGTCTCATTTTCACTGCAAAACCATTTAGTGACAAATCCAGTCCCACATATTACAGTTCTCTCCATCCCCATTGATACCATTTTTATTTGGGTGCCTCTCTCATAGTGGTCATTTGTCTTTTTTTTTTGAGTTGGAGTCTCACTCTGTCACCCAGACTGGAGTGCAGTGTCCGCTCCTGACCACTGCAGTCTCGACTTTCTGGGCTCCGGTTATCCTTCCGCCTCAGCCTTCCAAGTAGCTGGAACTACAGGTGCACCACGCCCGGCTAATTTTTGATTTATTGTAGAGATGAGGTCTCCCCAAGTTGCCCAGGTGGGTCTCAAACCCATGGGCTCAGGCAATCCACTCACCTCAGCCTCCCAAAGCGCTGGGATACAGGCTGAGCCATTGAGCCCGGCAGTCATTTGTCTTTCTGTTTAACACCTTCACTTCTTTTCCATTTCTCCAAGGGCTTACCTTAGTGCTTGCTTACTTCTTTGTATTTCTCTTGCTTTTGCATTTAACGTTTTATTATGGTAAACTATACTCAACATAAAATTTGCCAGTGCCATTTAGTACACTCACAATGTTGTGTAACCATTACCACTGTCTATTTCCAGAACTTTTTTCATCATCCCAAATGGAAATTCTGTACCAATAATACTAAACAATAACTCCCCATCTTTTTCTTTGCAGCATCATACCCAGAGTAACTTAGAGGAATATACAAAGACATTTCATTAGGGGAGAGGAACATATTAAAATGCCCATTAACTTTTCAAATTTAAGAGCAGTGGTCATTCATGATAATATAGTTTTCCAAATTATGAACATGACGCACATCTTCTTTTATTTAGATCAAAGATACTACTCTTTGTTTTGTTTTCAGTGTACCACTCTTGCAAATATTTTTTATATAATCCTTAGGGGTTTTTTTGTTTAATGCTGCTGTAAATGATACTCATTTTTTATTTCGATTTCCCACTGCTCATTGCTAGTATATGAAAATGCAATTGATTTTTGTATATTGATCTACAATCTTTCAAAACTCTTATTCTAGTAATTTTCTTGTAGATTCTTAGGATTTTCTATCTGGATAATCCTGTCATGTGTGGATAATGACTGTTTATCTCCTTACCTTCCAGTGTGTTATTTCTGTCTCACATATTTCTGTCTTGCCTTGCTACATTGTCTAGAATCTCTAGTATAATGTTTAGGGAAAGTTGTGAGAACAGATGTTCTTACTTTGTGCCTGACTTAGACAAAAAGCATTGTCTTTCACTATTAAGTTTAATATTAGCTATAGGGTTTTTAAAATCAAGTTGAAGAAGTTTCAGTTTCACATAGTTTTTATCATGAATGGATGTTGAGTTTTTCTGCATCTATTGGTTTTTCACATTAGATGGCTTTTCTCTTTTTTTCTTTTACTATGGTGAATTATATGATTGATTTTGAAACGTTAAACAAATTTAGTTGTCTTTGGATAAACTCCACTTGGTCATGATATGCTTCATATATATATATATATATAGATATAGATATAGATATAGATATATATGTACAGCCTGCTAAATTTGCCAATATATTTTTAAGGATTATTTTGTCTGTGGTTCATAAAGGATTTATTCTGTAGTTTTTCTATTTGGTATCAGGGTAATACTGTCTTATAAAATGAAACAGGAAGTATTCTCTCTTCTTAATATTTTTTGATAGAATTTGTGTAGAATTTGTATTATGTTTTCTTTAAATGTTTGTTAGAATCCCACCAGTGAAGCCATCTTAGTTGGAGATTTGTTTGTGAGAAGACGTTTAACTGGTAGTTCAATTTCTGTAATAGAATTGGGGCTATTTGGGGCTTTTTTTTTTTTTTTAATTTAGTGTGCTTTTGTAGTTTGTGTTTCTAAAGGAGTTTGTTCATTTCATCTAAGTTGTAAAATTCATTGGCACAGAGTTGTTCAAAATATGCTCTTTTTATCCTTTCAATGCTTGCACAATCTGTAGCAGTTCCCCTCTTTTGTATCTTATTTATTTTCCTGGTTCCTTGGCTAGAGGTTTACGAATGTTGTTGGTCTTTTAAAAGTACCACATTAGCTTTTAGTTTCAAGTTTCTCTATTGTTTCTGTTTCCTCATTTTTACTCTTGTATTTTGTCATTCCTTTCCTTTTCATTACTTTGGGTTTGTTCATTTATTTTTTATTTTTATTTATTTATTTATTTATTTTTTTTGAGTCGGAGTCTCACTCTGTCCCCCAGGTTGGAGTGCGGTGGCATGCTCATGGCCACCACAGCCTTGACCTGCTGGGCTCAGGTGATCCTTCTGCCTCAGCCTTCCAAGTAGCTGGAACTACAGGCACCTGCCACCATGCCCAGCTAATTTTTTGATTTACTGTAGAGATGAGGTCTCACCAAGTTGCCCAGGCTGGTCTCAAACCTGTGAGCTCAGGCAATCCTCTCACCTCAGCCTCCCAAAGTGCTGGTATTATAGACATGAGCCACCACATCCAGCTTTGGGTTTAACCTTACTTTGGGTTTAATTTGTTCTTTTTCTTTTTCTTTTTCTAATTAGTTCTTTTTCTAGTCTTGTATAGATGGAAACTTATATCATTTAGACATTTCTCTTTTTCTTATAGAAGCTTTAAATGCTATAAATTTCTGTATAAGCACTATTCATGGGTCTACCAACAAATTTTGACGTTACATTTTTTTTTATTCGATTGAAAATATTTTCTAATTTCTCTTGTGACTTAAAAAAAATATTTTATTATTTAGAAGTGTGTTTAAATTCCAAATATATGGAGATTTTCCAGATAGTTTTCTGTTACTAATTTCTAGTTTTATTCTGTTGAAGTTAGAGAACATATTCTGAATGATTTCTTCTTAAATTTATGGAGACTTCTTTTATAGCACAGAATATAGTTTAACTTTGTAAATGTTCTCTGTGTCTTTGTAAAGAATGTGTATTCTGGTGTTATTCGGTGTGTTTTCTAAATGTCATTGAGGTCTAGTTGGTTCATTGTTTTGGTAGTTTTTTTTATCCTTGTTGTTTTCAGTCTACTTGTTACAGCAATGACTGAAAGGGGAAAGTTGAAATCTTCTATTATAATTGTGGCTTTATCTGTTTTTCCTTTCAGTTATATCAGTTTTTACTTTATAAAATATGTGAAATTTTGTTTTTAGGTACATTTATATTTAGGATTGTTATGTTCTCATGAATTGACCCCACTCTATCATGAAATGCCTTATCTAATCCCTAATAATAGTCTATGTTCTAAAATCTATTTTGTTTAATATTTTTATAGCTAGTCTAACTATCTTATGATTGTACGTTGTTTTAATTTGTTTGTGCTGTGGTGACAGAATACCTGAGTTTGGGTAATTTATAAAGAACAAAAATAAGCCGGGCTCAGTGGCTCAGCCTGTAATCCCACACCTTTGGGAGGCTGAGGTGAGTGGATGATTGCCTGAGCCCACGGGTTCGAGACCCACCTGTAATTCCGGCTACTCAGAAGACTGAGGCGGAAGGATCGCCAGAGCCCAGCAGGTCGAGGCTGCGGTGGCCGGGAGCGGCCACTGCACTTCAGTCTGGGCGACAGAGTGAGACTCCAATTCAAAAAAATAAATGTTCTCACAGTTCTGGAGACTGGGAGGCCCAAAATCAAGATGTGGACAGGTCTGGTTGTCTGGTGAGGTCTGTCCTCTGCTTCACCTTCATTCTGTGCCCTGACATGGCAGAAGG